GAAGACATTTATGCAGCCAACAAGCATATGGGGGAAAAAGCTCATCATCACTGATCACCACAAAAATGCAAAACAAAACCGCAATGAAATACTCTCTGATGCCAGTCATAATGGCAATTATTAAAAAATCAGGAAATAATAGATGCTGGTGAGGCTGTGGAGAAATAGAAACACTATTACACTGTTGGTAGGAGTGTAAATTAGTTCAACTGTTGTGGAAGACAGTGTGGCGATTCCTCAAGAATCTAGAACCAGAAATACCATTTGACCCAGTAGTCCTATTCCTGGGTATACACCCAAAGGATTATAAATCATTCTACTATAAAGACACATGCACATGTATGTTTACTGCAGCGCTATTTACAGTAGCAAAGATTTAGGACCAACCCAAATGCCCATCAGTGATAGACTGAATAAAGGAAATATGGGACGTATTCATCATGAAATACTATGCAGCCATTAAAAAGAATGAGATCGTGTCCTTTGCAGGGACATGGATTAAGCTGGAAGCCATCACTCTCAGCAAACTAACACAGAAACAGAAAACCAAACACTGCATGTTCTCACTCATACGTGGAAGTTAAACAACAAGAACACATGGACACAGGGAGGGGAACAACACATACCACGGCTAGTTGGTGGGGGAGAGGCAGAGGAGGAGGGAGGGCATTAGGACAAATATCTAATGCATGAGGGGCTTAAAACCTAGATGATGGGTTGATAGGTGCAGCAAACCACCATGGCATATGTATATCTATGTAACAAATTTGCACATTCTACACATGTGTCCCAAAACTTAAAGTAAAATAACATAAAATAAAAATTCGTTTCATAAAAATCAATAAATTATACTCAGTGGATTTTAGTAAAATATTGTAGGGCCTTTTTAGCTTATTTAAAATGTCAATATCATATTGTCTTGAAGTGAACCAAGAAAATCAGAAAGAGTCACCTACTTTACCTATGGTATATAAGGCAAGCCTGGAATGAGTAAGGAAGGACTGTGTAATCATCTGCTTCCATTTGGTATAATTCTCCTTCTTATTCCCAATCTGAGTTTACGTTTTATCTTTGCAATTATATTCATTCTTTTTTTTCTAGTTGAGATGGAGTCTTGCCTCTGTCGCCTAGGCTAGAGGTGCAGTGGTACCATTTCATTTCACAGTAACCTCTGCCTCCCAGGTTCAAGCAATTCTCTTGCCTCAGCCTCCTGAGTAGCTGGGATCACAGGTGTGTGCCGCCATGCCCAGCTAATTTTTGTATGTTTTTAGTAGAGACAGGGTTTCTCCATGTCAGCCAGGCTGGTCTCAAACCCCTGACCTCAGGTCATCCGCCTGCTTCAGCCTCCCAAAGTGCTGGGATTACAGGTGTGAGCTACCACACCTGGCCAACTTTCTTAAATCTCTAACAAAGCATTTCCCTACTACTTCCGAAAACAAGAGTCACATTGTGTCATATGTATTCCAGATACTTTTAGTGATGTGGAAATCACAAACGCATAAGTATGCCAGAAAGCAGTTTTGTACAAATTTAAGTAAATCTCTCTTAAACAAGACAAAGGAATAAACAGATACCAAAAAATATGCATCTTTATCTCAACAATATTTTAATGATATATTTCAATGATATTTTAAGAATCATAGTGACTTGATACAATTGTTGGTACACAAAGCGATGTTGCTACAATCTTCATGGAAAGTGTGGCCTCATTAACTACTGCACAATCTGACAGATTCATTCAAATATGTCTAACAGACCTTGGGTGAGTCTGGAAGCTTTGACAGTAAAACCAGAAGGACTCAGCCTGTGAGGGATGCTTGGTTTGTCTACAATTCGAAGTGGGAAATACCTTCTAATAAGACGACACTGTTCTTGGGAGTTACAGAATCATTAAAAGGCAGTGGAAATCTCTGGGTGTACGAATCGGCAGCTGTGGGCTTCTGGAAATAACGTCCTGGCACTTTACAAGACCGTGTTCCAATTCATAGCTAAGGCTACTGTACACTGTGTGCATTCGTGTCCATAAATAAAGTAGCAAAATGAAAATCATGACGGTTTTTAGGCCTCATTGTTTACAATGTCCTTCCTCATTCCAGACTCTTCCATGTTGGGAAAATTAAGGTCACAAGAAAATCTCAACTGTTCTTTTTCCACTAAATCCAAAATTATGATACAGAACTCTGCTGAAATACACACATCATAAAGGTAGAATCTTAAAACAAAAGCATGAAGAAAATGGAGAGGAAGATACTTAACTCCATGGCCACCTCTCTCTTAGCCAGCATCATGTTATTTAAATACTACCTGCCTTTGGTCTATTCTGTCTCCCAAGCTAGACTATGAATTCACATGCAAGAGCTATTCCTGACTCACTCTGGAGCCCTGAGTGACCAGCACAGTGTCTGACACAAGGCACTCAACAGATTTCACTTAAATTGGACTGGGCCTACTTAAGGGAGGTATCAAAAAGTATCAAATATATACATCTGGTTAGAAAAAAGAAGGCCTCACGATTTGGCTCTCTGCTCATTACCGGTGCATAGGAATGCTTGTGATTTTTGCACATTGATTTTGTATCCTGAGACTTTGCTGAAGTTGCTTATCTAGAACAGAAAACCAAACACGGCATGTTCTCACTCTTAAGTGGGTGTTGAACAATGAGAACACATGGACACAGGGAGGGTAACATCATACACAGGGGCCTGTCAGTGGGTGGGGGGCTAGGCAGGGATAGCAGGGGGTGGGGGGGCAGGGGAGGGATAGCTGAGGGTGGGGGGATAGGGGAGGGATACCATTAGGAGAAAACCTAATGTAGATGATGGGGTGATGGATGCAGTAAAGCAACAGGGCACATGTATAACTATGTAACAAACCTGCATGTTCTGCACATGTACCCCAGAACTTAAAGTATAATAAAAAAAATAAAAAATAAAAAACATCCAAACTTTAAAAAAGAAAGCCTGCAGAATGGTTTATAATGAACAGCCTAAGCCCCCAGATCTGTTCCCCATCCTGCTCACTAAAAGCAACCACTCTTAACAATGAGAATTTAAGGTTTCATCGCTTGTATTGCTAATTCAAAAAAAAAAAAGAAGAAGGAAACGAATGCCAGTTTCAAATTATTCATGTCTTTTTACTTAAATAGACCCAAAATATTTGGAAACACTGTCAGCAGTTATTCCAAGTTGTTGTATTCTACATTCAACAAACATATATTGTTTGCATTAAAAGTAACGGCATTTCTGTTTTTGTACTTTCATCAACACAGACAAGCTTTCTTCCCCACTTAGGATGAAGAAGGTATAAGTCAGTGTGACCCTAGAATTAGTGGGGACAGAGCACATCAGAACTAGACAATGGGGGTGGAGAGAGGAAGGGTGAGTCAGTGTCACAATGGAATAAGCTGCTCTACGAGTTACTGTTGTAGGAAGACGGTGAATTGCCAGATGCAGAAATCCACTCCCTTTTTTGCTTACTTCTCAGCAAGTGACGCTCTGTACAAGAAAGGACCCATGGGTCAATAGCATTATACCACATTTTACTTCTACAAACTGTACCAAAGCAACTGCATGCTTCACCAAACAGTCCTCTTATTCTGAACCAGTAAAATAATCTGCAAAATCCCTTAGAATTATTTATAATGGTACGTATTTCACGTTAGCAAACACAAATGCATAAAACAGTACCACATTTATAGCACAGAGGGGTAGGAAAAACTCTGCAAAGACATGACACTTTGGGAAAACCCTCACACCAGTCAGAGTGAATAAATAATGAACTTGCCAAGAAGATACTCTCAGGCGCTTAGCCAAAGAAACACATTACTGCCTTAGAATGTTGGCCCTTGAAGAGGTATTCTGGTCCCCAGGATAAGCTGGAGCCCTGAAACCCGGTGATCCTGAGAGACCCTCCTCTGAGGATGCTTTAATAGATCGGTGGGGGCACATAGGAATTGACAGACAAGATGTTGATCGGGGAGCTGAACTGAAAAGGCAGCTGTAAGTCAAGAAAAGACAAGAGCCCAATTCAGAAAAATTCTGTTGGCAGGATTCAAATTTATCTACTACAAGAAGATCATATTGTACATAAGGTGAAGGAGAATCCAAGTTCTAGAAGGAAAAACAAGCCAATAACAACAACCAAAATACAAAACAAAAATAAAAAATAGAAACAAACGTTTTCCAAATATGAGCAAGGTTTTACAAAGTTAATCTGAATGAGCCCTTGTTATAATACTAACCTGTAGACATTATTTTCATTTTATAGATGAGAAGACTGAGGCTTACAGAGGCTATAGAGCCTGCTGAGGGCCACAGAAGTAGTAAAGTGATTCAAATCCAAGGCTGCCTGACTCTATATCCGTGTTCCTTCTATTATAACAAGGCAGATGTCTACAAGGTGAGGAAAATCATATATCTAAATCCATAGATATTATGTATGGTAATACTTCTGAGGTTCACAAACAAGCAAGTGTGCATCAATGAGATGTCACCAAACTTTTTCAGTCACTTAAACTTACTTAACTGGGTCCCTTGTAATATTTCCTGGGTGACTAATTTGGCCGGTGGTTTTAAAATTTTAAAATCTAACAGACTCAAGATTGAATAAAAAAGAACTTATGGTCATAATTACAGCAACATGAAAAGGTACATTAAAAACATTTTCACTGTTGGAAAAGGGGCAATTCATGTTAGCTCCTATTTTCCAAACTGCTTAAAAAAACGAACTTTGAAATAGGTCAAAGAGAGATTTTCTTAGAAGGTTACATGTTTGTGAAAACAGAGGAAACCAAACATTTCCATGCAATTTCCACTATACTAAATCAACTCAGAAGGTTATTTTCCCCGACTGTAAAAAAATTAAAATGTCCACCTTTATGTGAATGAGGATAATAAAGTTGCATCCACTATTCTCCTTGTATTAATGTGTCTGCAACACCCACATTTCCCGTTACCCTCCCCCAACACACACACCAAGTAAAAAATAAAATTGAACTCAACCTTCGCCCCATCCAGGGGTGTTTTTCCTTCCAGCGGTCCCACATTCTGAGTTGCTAGCGGTAGTCAAGCACTCAAGAAGCCTCCCTTACTGAGTGCCATCTCCTCCAAAAAGACCACCTGATTTGTGGCGAAACATGGCCCGCCAGGTAGAGTAACAGCTACACCCTGCCTTCTGTCCTCCTGTGAGCAGCCCTTTTCTCTTCCTGCCCCTCTTGTGCTCAGGTCCTATATGAAAAGGAGGAGGGAAGGGCTTAAAGGAGAATGAGAAGGACAAGCAGGAGTCAAGATTTCTGTGACGTCACAGGACTGTTATGAGTGGCTGCTAACCATTTCTGAAAAGACATGAAAATTCTTCATCTGCCTCAATATCTATAAGCTGCTCACAAGTCTTTCCATTCAGCAGTTTTTCCAGGCAGGTCTTCTCACACGGCTTTTTTTTTTCTTTTCTTTTTTATTTTTTTTAACACACTAAGCTGACTCAGACTCACAGGCAGAAGTTCTGACTCATTTTTCTTTTCTTTTTTTTTAGACTCCTTGAGTCCTGAAAAGGTATGCTCCACAGGGCATCATTAGTTCTTCTCATATAAGTGGGGAAAACCAGTCCAAAGATTAAGTCATGAAGCTATGATCTTTAACTTAGAAAAATGCAAAATATTCTTAGGAGGACCACAACAAAACAACGATGACAATTAAAAAGTTGTTTCAAAATTTGATAGGCAGGCACTCATTCCATACAAGGAAACTGACTTCGCTGGACCACCAGCCCTTCTTCTTCTCCTCTACTTTCTACCGAGGTACCTCTGCCATTCCCCTGTCTTGCCTACCTGAGGGTATGTGGCTATATACCTTCATGGTGCCAAATTCTCAAATGAATTTTAGAATTAATGAAGTGCTCACCTGTGTTTGCATCTGTATTTATATTTTCAGGTGATAATATGTATGTTGGTGCATGTGCTCACACGATGTGTGTAGTGTTACTGATAAGTGGGCAAATTGTTGATTGGCACATCTACTCTGAACTGACAATTCCTCATCTATAAGTCTATCTTACAACAGTATTTACTGAAGCAGACAAAGATGTAAGAGAATGTTTTAGCAACATTATGTGTAATACCAAAACAGTAGAAACATTTAAACAGTAGGGAACTTGCTAAATACACTTATATCCATGTTATGAATACTATCCTATCATTAGATACAGTAAAGTAGATTTATTATATTCTCACAGGGAGAGATATCAAAAGCATATTCTTAAATAAAAGAAGCAAGTGGCAGTACAATGCAATGAGTGAATCAGAGGAATAGATTGATGTGTTTCCGTGTTTCAAATCACGGTTGATACAAGGCCATCACTTAGCTACCGACAGCTACATCAAAAAAAAAAAAGATCATACCCATTAAAAATCAATAAAAGCTTTGAAAATTATTGGACTAGTTTGATAAATGATTTAGCTTCTAACATAGATCACCTGGTAGGCAATTACATAGAGTTTGGCCTGCTTAAAGAATGGAACATATTTTTCAGTGCTAAGTTTTATATTACCATGCAGTGGTTAAACATTTTTATCATCGTCTTACTATGTGTATGTGTTTATTCATAGATGCTTAGAAAAAATATAGAAGGATACACAACACAGAAAATGGTTATGTATGGTTACCTCTGAGGGTGGGGGAAGAGGTGTATTGGGGGCAGGTGTCCTTAAAGAAGAAACTTCAGTTTTTATTTTATATTATCTATTTCATAAAACCATGCAATCAACCATCTATGATTGGTACAGGACAATTTAATGGAAGAAGCGGATTATCAGTGTCTTAAAGAATGACAATAGGAGAAAGCCCTTGGGATAAATGACAGATATTTAAGGGGGCAGGTTTACGTGGAAGAGGCTCAAAGCAAAAGTAGAATGGAGAAGAAGAAGCAAAATACAAGAGAAAAGGAAGAGTAATGAGATAATAAATTGTAAGAAAAGGCCTTTTAAAAAGGCTAAATACAAGTTGATGACCTTTGTGATACTAAAATATAAAAGAAAATAGGAAAATATGAAAGTATGAGTAGCCCACTTCAATAAAGCCCAGACATTTTCCCCAATTAGTTGGTGCTTTGAACTGACTTTTGAAGGACTAGGAGTCAGCCGAACTACAAAGAACATAGAGGCATTTTAGTCAGGGGCATGATATAAGCCCAAAATGGGGAGACTTTTAAGGGAAGGGTATGTCTAGAGAATGCCAGATGGTTCAATAGGCCAGAGAGTGCATGGGATAAGTGAGGAGGAATCTAAAAAAGAGTAAGAGAGCAGAGAGAAAGCAATGAAGAGTCATTGATGGGCTTTCAACCAGAACATGGTTTGCTCCAGTTGCTTTTTTGAAAGGATTAGTTGGGGGACAATGGGCAGGTGCGTTAGAGGGAGATCAAAGAGAAGGCAAGAAGGAAGTGCTCTGTCTTCTGTTAACAGCAAAGCAGCTAGGTCAGAACGATTGTTCCACAGGTACAATTTTTAGATCTGGACAATTAAAAAAAAAAAAAGACTCAAAGGCACTACAAAGTGATCATGGTTAGGCAAAATCTGAAGCAGAGATCACCATTAAAAGACAAAGTACAATAAATAAAATTTGCAAGTTTGTAAATATTTGCCTGTGAGCACTCCCAATTTGCACATGGCTGGGGCTGTGTAAAGCCTCAGTTTCCTTACTTGATCAAGATATCAGATAACTTAAGGGAAGGCAAAACTGCAGAAAGTTAGGGGGAATATGTTGAATAGGGAGAAGTCATGAAGGCAGTGAGCCCTAAAATCTGCAAATAAATCTTCTCTCTCCCAAATCACTGGCTGAAAAAAAACTATACATAAAAGTTAATCTTCTAAGTTAATAAAATCCCAATCATAACTACAGCAGAGCTTTTGAAAATAAAAATTGACATGTTAATTCTAAAATTTATTTGGAAATGTAAAGAATCCAGAATACTTAATCTTGAAAACAGAAAAATGATGGAGAACTTATACCACATGACTTGAAATTTACTTTAAACCTACAGCGTGGTACTGCCATAAAGATAGAAAAATAGATTAACAGAACAGAATAGAGAGTCCAGGAATGGTTCAAGTCTATTGTCAATTGACTTTTGAAAAAGTCACCAAAGAAATTCAATAAAGCAAAGAGAGTCATTTCAACAAATTATGCTGGAACAGCTAGATGTCCATATGGAAAAAAATGAACCTCAACCTCTATCTTACAGCATAAAAATTAATTCAAGATGAATCACAGATCTAAGTGTGAAAGCTAACATATAAAATTTTTAGAAGAAAACAGAAGATCTTCGTGACTTGCAGACAAGTAAAGATTTCTCAGAAAGACATAGAAAACAATATCATTTTTAAAAATCAAAAAATTTTGCTTACAAAAATCACCTTAAGAAAATTAATAGGCATGCTTTAGACTGGAAAAAAAAATTACCAACCATGAGTCTGATAAACTATTTGTATCCAGAATTTTTTTAAGTCCTGCAACTACTAATAAACATTTTTAAACAATTAAAAATAGTGAAAAGTAAAACTTGAACAGACATTTGACAAAAGAATTACCCAGTCTGGGCCAGGCGTGGTGGCTCAAGTCTGTAATCCCAGCACTTTGGGAGGCTGACGTGGGTGGATCACAAGGTCAAGAGATCAAGACCATCCTGGTCAACATGGTGAAACCCCCGTCTCTACTAAAAATACAAAAAATTAGCTGGGCATGGTGGTGCATGCCTGAAATCCCAGCTACTCAGGAGGCTGAAGCAGGAGAATTGCCTGAACCCAGGAGGCAGAGGTTGCGGTGAGCCGAGATCGCACCATTGCACTGCAGCCTGGGTAACAAGAGCGAAACTCCATCTCAAAAAAAAAAAGAATTACCCAGTCTGGGTACCATGTTGTAGCTGCACAAAACAGACTAAGACAGTTTATAAGTTTTACTTAAAGTCTATAAATTCATCATTATCATAAAGGGGGAGTGGAAATGCAAAGCTAGGTAATAGCAACATGGGGGTGCATTACACTATTTTGTGTCCTTTGTCTATATTTGAAATTAGCAGTATAAGTTGTGTTTTAAAATGAAACTGCAGTCATTCGGTGAGAGATGATGAAGGACTGCAGTAAGAAAGTATTAGTAAAGACAGAGAAAATAAAATGAGTCTGACTGCTGTTCAGGAGATGATCTGTGAATGATATGCTGAATCAATGTGAGAGATGAGAAAGAAGATAATTCATGGATTCCAAGTCATTCATAACAGAACTGTTTTTCCATGTCACTGGTTTTCATAGCAGTCCTGTATACTTACCAATACTATTTTTAAAGACGGCCATAAACATCACCAGATTGCTAACATGGCATGGTTGACAAGAGCTTAAGAATCTGTAGATGACTCCCAGGTTTCTGATTTAAACAACTAAGGGTTTCTAAGTACCATTTATTAACACTAAAGAGAAATTACATAAAGGTATACAGATATTCAGAATGAGGAATGAGATTTAGAGTAATGATGATGTGAATTAAGCTTGTAATACTTTGATCAGAGAACTACAGTAAACTCTCAGATATACGGATTTGCATCTCAGAAAGAGGTCTGGGCTACAAAGACAGATTTGGGAGTCATGAGCATAGAGGAAATCAGTCACTATAAGCAATTCCTGTTAGATGCACAGCTCCTCATCTAAGGGCACCCTGGAAAAGAAAGGAAGTCTAAGAAAGGTGAAAATACGACCTTCATAAAGAAAGCGTGGTTTCACTTTGTCATCCATTCAATCTGTCCCTGGATGCAGCCAATCCTATAACCATGTAACAGAATTCTTTCTGCAACTAGTTGGAAAAGGTTTTTTTTTTAATGAGGGTAGAAAAACGATGCTTGTGTAATGTGATGTTTCAGTGAATATTTTCTTTGCAGCATCAAGAAATAATTTTTTTTAAAAGAGCTAGACTCCTTGCAAAATTTACCAATAAAAGTTATAAAATGTTTATAAAACTAATCATTCCTTAAAAGGATCAATAATTGGACATTTTTGCAGGGATTTTTCAAGGAAGCTATTGATGTGCCGAGAGTCCACTCCCCCTCAACCAAGGAGAGTCAGTGGTTAGTCTTGCTTTCTGCTTCAACTCAAGTCAAGAGAGAGGGCCTTTAAAGAGGCAGACAGAGGGCTTCGCATCTGTCCTCAGCAGTTCATGCAGTTTGGGAGACAAGTAGATTTGTATCTGAATCCCATCCGACATCTAGATATGATAGCATCTAGGCTTGCTGGCTGTTTTGTTGGTGGATCTAGGAGACATGGTCACACTCCCAGAGTTTGCAGAAGCAAAGGATGCTTGGTTGTCTCCCATGAACAAGGTGTGGGCTATGCACCAGAGACAGCCATATCAGCATTGTTCAGGTACTACCCAAAGGGCATAGCAGAAATTAGTTGGAGGTGTGGCCAAGAACCTAAGGGTCAGGAAAGGTGACCCCCAGTAGCAATACATTGTTTTTGTCTCAGAGAACTACAAATACGAGATCCTCAGCAACAGGGGGAGGGTATTCTTTTTGTGCAAAGAATACACAAAGGAACTCCACAGAGAAGTCAACTTACATATCTGCTAGATTCAGAAAGCACTGAAACTAGACCAACAATTCATCAGCAGTAAAGTAAGCACTTTACTGTTTCTCTTATATTTCCTCCCTCCTCCTCTCTCTCAACCCAACTTAGTGGGGTCTGAGACTGAGGCTAGCCGAGAAAAGAGAAGGGGTGAAGGAATGCTGAGGAGAAAAAGGGAAGCTGTCCACTCTTCTTCCCTGACTGCAGGGCTGGGGTGGGCCCACGCTGGAGGAGGGAAGAAAGCGCAATTCTAAATCAAGTCCAGTGTTTTTGCTATCATGTGATGCTGGATGTTTCAGGTACTGAATTATCTGGTGTTTTAACCTGAATGCTTTTTTTTTTTAAATTATCGCCTAAGAGTGACTGGAATTGCCAGGAAAGGACATGCCCCACTGTGCAGGTTTAAAGAATAAATGGAGGGAGAGAGCAACGCTGTTTGATGATGGCATACTATGAGCTGAGCATGGTCATCCCAAGTGCTATATTTTAATAATAGCAGTGAATCCTCAATCTGTCAAAATGTCTCTAAATATTTTGGTCACAGCTATCAATTAAGATAGTGGATAGGAGGCCAGACTAGTTTGCAGCTCCTGCTGGGACAGACAGAGCAGTGTATGGAGACTCGCATCATGAACTTTTGCTC